TGATTTTTTACAAGAAGGTACACCTGCACACTTATACACACATGTATACACACTAGCACACACAAACACATACTCTGACAATCTGTGCTTGTTGCTGTCCCCAGGTTTTAGAAACTCATATCTTCCACACATTCCTGCGAGACAGGCTGAACAGGAAACCAGACACCTTCAGCCGCATGGAGCAGATCACGCGTAACCGATCAGCCAGGTATGATGCTGGTGTGATGTCATTACTAAAGGCCCTGTCACACTGTCCCGAAATTGACACCCGATGGACACACGATAAAGGAAATGTTCAAATTCGGCTGTGATCGTAGCAACATCGGGCCATTCGTGAGGGCATCTTAAGCCATCGTATGACCGCCGGTGGAGTTTCTCAGGCTCCGGCAGCAACTTCGTGAGCGGCAACTTCGTAAGGCATCGTGAGGGCATCTTGTCAAATCGTGTCATCTTCGTGTTATCATCGGTGCATTCACCCTCACTCTGATCAGGGCGAATGCCCGATGGCACCGATGATAACAAGATGCCCTCACGATGGCCTTACGAAGGGCACAATTGACACACGAATTCAACACGAAAATGAACCTTCGCAAGGTCCTTCGGCAATTTTTTGGCATGCCAAAGATTTTGCCACCGCTCACGAAGTTGCTGCCGGAGCCTGAGAAACTCCACCGGCGGTCATACGAAGGCTTAAGATGCCCTCACGAATGGCCCGATGTTGCTACGATCACAGCCGAATTTGAACATTTCCTTTATCGTGTGTCCATCGGGTTGTTTTATTGCACAACAAAATCATGTAAATATATTATGTAAATAACCCAATTTGTGTTCTGTGAAACTAAAAAGGATATCATATATTATTTTGAAGGACAGTTGACAGGAAGTTGTTGTTGTTATGGAAACAACATTACGGAGAAAACGTAATATTTTCTACATATAACGACGGATAAAGTAAAGAACAAAGTCTGAAGATATCAGTACAGTATCATAGTACTGTAACATAATTGTTTTTGGTACTTTCATTGCAGTTGTATGTCTTAAATGTAATGTAAATGTTGCCTTCGTGTGTGGTTCGGGGCCATCATCGTGCGAAATTCACAATTCCATATTCGTGTGTCCATCGGGTGTCAATTTCGGGACAGTGTGACAGGGCCTTAAGGGACTGATAACCATGCAACACAGAGGAGCCCAATTGTTCCAAGCCTTTCCGTCAATGTTTTCCCAATTAAAATAGTTTTTTAAATCTGGGTTAAGCGAATAAAGAACATTCTAGTCGTGCATTGACAGTAGCCCGAAAGGGGATATTTTCTCGGACAAGTCAGTGGCCTGCTGTGTTTTTAACTCGTCTGGTATACTCTTAGCTAGCGTGCCGTGGAACTTTTATAGAGGTGGTAACAAACAAAGTGCCGGGTGCTATCCTTATTTTGTGCAATAGGAAGACCAAGATACGAAACGAGATGAGTAAAGCCACGTTGTACCATGAAATGAAAATGCAGCATAAGGTTGTATTTAAAGGGGAGAAGCCTTCAAATCATAAAGACAGTGATGTAGCGATTAATTTGAATAGATAATGTAAAAATAAAAAATAAACTTTATTTAGTTTATTGGACACAACCCATACATTACAATTATATACCCTCTATGTAATGATATTGAAACTGCCTTTAGCTATGTGATGTCTCGATCACAATCTCAACCCCAACATCTGTGTCCTCTTTCTTCAGGAATCGTGCGATGACAGAGTCTCCTCGGCGTCCTCTCATGTCCGATCTGTCGAGGACGGGGTACAGCAGCTACACCAGCCCTCGTGACCGACTGAGCAAGAGGCTGGGGGCCAGCCTGCCTAACCTGCAGCAACCTGCCAACGACACGGGGACCCCCATCAGCTCCACCAGATCAGCCTCCCTCAGGAAGATGTCTCCTGATGTTGGTCAGTACTGATGGAAGAGAGGGATTCATTGAGAGTGGAAATCAATTAAGAGTGAACTTATTTCACATTTTCTTTGTCTCCTTTCAGGTTTGAAGTCTCCTCAGAAAGTGGTGAAGGTTTTCCGCCTTCCCGAGTTCCCCCCTCCGCTGGCCTACCATTACGTCCAGAACTATTATTCTGACATGGTGTCCTCCCTGGGGAAGGCTATTAACGCTACACTGCCTGAGGAGGCTGCTCTGCTGGCAAGGTACTGAGAGGAGACAAAACTCATAGAGAGTGAAGAAAGGGTTTTTGCTCATTTTATTTTGAAGCTGTACAAATATTTAATATCTGTATGATCTTTAGCCTTTAAAGTGTTTCTTTCACTGGGAAATGCTGACTTGGTCTATTAGTATGTCTGGCACCACATCTGTGTGTGACACGCAATTTTAAGTATTACTTCCTGAATAATGAATAGAAGGCATTGACTATACACAATCTTTTACATTTTAAACAAGAAAATATAAATGCTGTATAATCATTTTACAGGCTGTCTTGGATAACAAATAGTATGTTAGTTATCTTCACCACAAGTTATGACACTTTTTGTGTCAGGAGTAGTGGTTCCATTTTGTGTGAAGGACTGAGAGTTGCACAGGGCAAAGATTGACAACATTAAAACGCTTTTTTGGAGTAATCAACCCAAATCAAAACCTTTCAACTGAATTTTAGCTACATTTCACACTCATCCTCTTAAGTAAATGACTGACTTCTAGACAAGTTAATAATTTCTCTGTCTTTTAGGTACCACTACCTGCGGGGTTTGGTAAACACGGTGTCCAACAGACGTCTGGATGCACTGGAGGACTTTCAGAGTCTGTATAAGACAGACTCAGATATCTTCCCTTCTCAGATGGTGAAGTCAGTGGTTGACTCGCTGCCAGAAGCTGAACGGCTACAGGTCAGTCTGTCATGAATGAAGACAGTGTTGTAGTCTCCTTGCTGTAAATACTGTTATCTGGATTCACATCAGTTAACTGCATCAAGAGCACCTGATTTATATTCTGTATGGTAGTCACGTTGAATTTAAGCAATCATTGTGAACATCACATCATCTTTTTTTACACTCAAAGCTTCTATGAGATTTTTGAATGAAGTTTTAAATGTAATTTATAGAGCTGTTAGATTGCTGTTAGAACACCCCTTTAATACAGGTGCATGCTTTCATTTGTGTGCAGCAAAAATAATTTGTAGACTGCAGTGAAAATGTTAGTAAGGCTAAATGCTACCACATATTGATTGAAGCGGAATATTCAACATTTTGTGGATAAAAAAAAATGGACAACTCTCTCCGCAGGCGGACAGACGACCAGAGCTGAACCGGCTCATCAGTCGGCTCAAGAGGGACCAGGAGAGGGAACACGCGCTCAACGGCAACGGTCAAGAGCACGATTCCATAAAGCGTTTCCAGCTGCCGAAAAAATACATGCACCTGGAGGAGTTTGTTAAATGTGTCCAGGAGTCTGGTATCGTAAAAGACCAAGGAACCATACATAGACTCTTTGACGCTCTAACTGTAGGTGAGTCGTGTGCATATGCATACATGCATGTGTCAGTTTATATAGTTAATACAGTAAAATCTATATAATATACTGTATTGCGGAGGGGTGTGGTGCAGTGGGTTGCACGTTGGTGTTCAGATCAGGGAGTCACAGGTTCAAACCCCACTGCAGTCAGCATGTCGTTGTGTCCCTGGGCAAGACACTTCACCCCAAATTGCTCCTGTGGGGATTGCCCACAGTATTGAGTATGTAAGTCGCTTTGGACAAAAGCGTCTAACAAGTGACATATAATGTAATGTAAATGTACATTTGTTAGAGCAGCTCAGGCCGTTTTCTGTTCATTTGGTCAAACAGGCCTCCGGGATGCTGCCTGAGCTCAAACGCACGCACGCACGCACGCACGCACGCACGCACGCACGCACGCACGCACACACACACACACACACATACACACACACACACACACACACACACACACAACCCTAATAGCAGTGAGTGAGCGACACAGTTTTGGCTGGCCTCGGGACAAACTGAAGCACAAAAATATCCCACTCCTTCTCCCTTTTCCAAGCAAACATTTATTCCTCAGGTTAATCATTACCTCACCCCTTCTTGAGGTTAGAGAGTTTGTCTTGCAGGGCTTGTTTGGTGGTCACTTACTTTTACTTTGCTTCACAAAGCTGTGGGCTATCAGCAATGTTTACTTAGTTAGCGAGCACACCTGAACACCACAGTTTGTATATTATAAACATTACGAGCAGCCAGTAACAACTAGTGCCAGCCAGCGTGAGAGCCGCTGTGACCTGAAAACATTCCTGTGATCTGAGATTGGTCACCATGTAAACGAAAAGGCAAGATATTTGAGTCATAAGAGCTGTGGTCTCAGTAATTAGTTTTACATTTAAGGTAAAAGCCAGAGTAAGAATAGTGTTTGGAAATGGACACATCAAAAAAGTCGAGGTTACAGCCAAATCAAATTATTGTTAAGGAAGAAAAGTTATTGTGGGGGCTTATCTTGCCATCTACATGACAGGACGTTGGGTTTAATTAGCAAACATCAAGTTTTCCTTTCCTCTTCTGACCTGCACTGCAGGAAGAGATACAGAGTGTGTGTGTTGGATGCCAAGTTAGCAGCAAAATCCAACTGCAGACTACTTGACTCAACACAGCACTTAATTTGAGTTACTCATTGTGATGGAATAGTTAGATAGAGATAAGAAGTAGACAGACATTTGGTCATTATCCTGCTGTGATTATGAAACTGAATTTTGAGCTTAGAATTTTACTTAGAGCTTAACATTTTGCAATTTGCTAAACTTTACTATTGCTCAGTGGGCTGCACTGTGTGGGACGTTGGTTGTGTGCTGTGGAGTGCAAAGACTGTAAGTCATTGTTTTCATACAGTAAGCACGGCAACCCCCAACTTCTTACTGTGCAGGAATGCTGGAAGATAAGATTGCAAGGAGAAAGAGTTGTTCAACTTCCAGATGTCTGTGTGTGTGTGAAGGAGAGACTATAAACCAGAGCACTTCTTTTGTTAAAACTTTAATATTAATTTAATTTATGCTGGCCTACAGCCAGAATGTGGTAGATGTATTATCACTTGTTTACAATCAGAAATGTATGTACAAGTGTCCATTTTCTAAGAATGGCATATACATATCCAGGATCTTACATTTTATATATACTGTATGTTATTCTATTTGTGCAGTATTTCCCACTGTTCAAAATGATCCATATATTCACTTACAGAAAAAAACGTTTTGTCACTCTAAGCTGAAAAGTAATTTTTTCGGTAATTAGAATTTATTTTATAATTTCTTCAATTAATCTTGAATAGGGAATGAAATGTTGTACCAATTTCTTATTATGGATTTCTCACCTGTGACCAATATTATCATGGTTCAATATCTATTTGTATAAGTGATAATCATTTATATTTCCAACGTACATATTATGCATTTATTGGGTATTGCATATCTAGGAATACCTTTAATTGTAACTTGCATACTTTCCCAAAATGAATATATGTTATTCACCAAAAATAGTTTTGGTTTGCCTCTTTATTCCTTTTATTCGTGTGCAAAGGTATACTCTTATTTTAAGGTGTTACATTTTTTCTACCCACACTTCCTCCCTGAAGCTGAGCTGTCTATAAATGCTCAGTCAACTATTTCAGGGTACATTTCTTGTTATATTTTTTAATTATTGTCATCTGTGTGTTAATTTGTTGCAGGTCATCAGAAGCAGGTTGGGCCAGAGTTGTTCAGAGTCTTCTACACCATCTGGAAGGAGACGGAGGCAGAAGCACAGGAGGTCTGTATGTAGGATTTATCTGGAACATATAACAAAAAAACCCACATTTTAAATATGCTGCATGTGTGTGTCAGCTGAAACTTTGAGTTTATTTTACCATAAAACAGTAAGCTGCACATTTTTGCGAAGTAGGAAACATGTCACAAACATGACATTGTCAGGAATAACACAACAAAGTCCACTAATTATATCCAAAGTGGTCTCTGGTGTTCCACATTGCAATATGTTAGCTGAACTGTAAATCAGCTCTTTTTATGTGATATTTCAGGTGTGTTTGCCAGCGTCAGTCTCTGAGCACATCGAGCCCAGCGAGTGTGTTTTCAAGCTTTCCTCCTCTGTGAAGACGAGCCGCGGGGTGGGAAAGATTGCCATGACTCAGAGACGGCTTTTCCTGCTGACTGACGGACGACCAGGATACGTGGAGGTGGCACAGTACCGGGATTTAGAGGTGAGACAAAATGAAGGACAAAGGTCAATCTGAGTGAATTATTTACATATGAGATTAAAATGAGCAGGACATAGACAGTAAAAACAAGGGCTTTCCTTAATGAATGTGGGACACTTTATATGTTTACTCTGTCTTCCTCTCTTCTCCTACAGGAGGTGAAAGTGTCCTCGGCTCCCTTCCTGCTCCTGCGTATCCCCAGCCTGAAGCTGCGAGTTCAGGGCAGGAAGGAGACATTTGAGGCTAATTTGAAAACAGAGACAGAGCTGTGGAACCTGATGGTCAAAGAGATGTGGGCCGGACGCAACATGGCTGACCAACACAAGGTTAGGCTTGAAATGAAGGATGTGTGAGAGTTTAAGTGTGCCAGTATGAGGGTATACCAGTGACGTGCGGTGAGGTTCATGGCTGGTGAGGCACTGACTCTTTCAGAGTCAGATTTACAAATATTATATTTTGACCTTAATCGAAATGTTCGGTTATTTTCAAAAGCTTTTTTAGTCTGATGCTTCGATTCATTTTAAACAGACTGTTCAACAAAAGGATACCCAAAATCTAAATATTGGATTGTTCTTTCTTAGTAAGATCCCATGTTCATTACAATTGTGGTCTTACCTTGACTTGAAGATGAAGTCCATGCTATCCTTCTGGACAACAATCTCCATTACATTTTTGTAAAAGTCCTCCTTATCTTCCTCTAGTTTCAAAAGTCTAGTTTGTTGTTTGTCTACCGTCCCTGCGTAGAATAACAGTAGCAACAAGAACATGTGGGCTCACGTGCGCCCCCTTCAGTGCGGCAGAGGTTATGGCTGCCTCTCCTGGTGCTTTTTTCATTGCCGTTGTATGATGAGACCAGCGAGCCTAAATATCATATATACGTGAAATAAGTTATTTAGAGACTATGGATGGCGAGGATAAATGTAATAAAGGGATCTACAAACATTACATTGGTGACATACAGTGAGATGGTGCAGGCATGCGCTTAGGGCCCGCTTTCCAGCCAGTTTCTGTGAGGTGACGCATTCTGAGGTGAGGCAGAGCTCATCTGTGCCTCACCTCACCACACAGTAACTGGCTTGAGCGTGCTCACAAAATAAGTATCCGCGCTACATTAGTGCCCGCGCTCCAGCCAGTTACTGTGGGCTTACGTGAGGCAGAGCTCGTCCCTGCCTCACTCCTCATCGCTCCCATATAGGAGTTGTAGCGGAGCTCGGCCAATTTGCTGATTTTGACTATAAAAAGCGATTGGAATCATACAGAAATCACACTTACAACACAGATCAGTGGAGACATGTTATTATTATTACTATTTAGTTTTTCTTTAGTTGTTTTTCCGTTACATTGGAGTATGACAGGTGAGGCTCTGCCTCCCCTGACTGCACGTCGCTGGGGTATACTGTTCATGGGGGAAAAGGGATCAGATGAAGGAGTCACAAATGAATGAATGATAATTTGGTGAGTCATCATGTGCCATTATTACTCATACCTTATCTCGGTGTGAATGTGTGTGTACTGTATGTGATTGTACATGCTAGTAATTGTGAACTTCAGTGACCTGGTAGGTGTGGTTAGAATTCCCTGAGGCGTTCATGAACATAAATACACACACTTGAACAAATAGGGTTTCCTTCATGAAACCAGATGATGTAACTGTAACATCTTCGTCTCTCACCCCTCTCCTTTCGCTCTCAAGTTTACTCTCGTAAATCACTTTTAGATTTCCTGTTCTGCAATATATTATGAATGTGAACTGACATCCGGCTTGTCTGACTGGGCGGATTGGCAGTAGTATTGTCAAGAAATCTGGCACTATTGCACCAAGCTTTATTATTCATCTTATCAAGGTCTGTTTTATTAGACCCATACCACTATTCAGGCCTTTGAGTCCATTCGTCTGGACTTCCTTGAGGTTGCAATGTTTTTTTTTAAATACATTTGATTATTTCATAGAGGCCACATATCTTTTTTAACTATCACTTATTCCTTCTTTTTTTTAATCCAAGATGCTACATGTCAAGTGCAAATCTAATTTCAAGACTAAGTACATTGCACCTTTATAGTCAGACTTAAACTGACATCATATGATAAATGAGAGAGAATGTATTGTGGTTATTATTATTTTATCACATCAAACCGGTTGCTCTTCATCTCGTTTTTCCTTTTTTTCTGTACATATCTAAGGGAAAAGCTTATCATGTTCAATTATAAGTGATGAGCTCAATACTATGTAAATCTACTTGCAGTAATACTGATAGTAAGATAACGTAATTTATGTGAAATTAATGCTTTTCTGAAATAAAGATATGTATTTCTTAATGTATGTTTGTCTCAAGGACCCCCATTACATGCAGCAGGCTCTGACCAACGCCCTGCTGATGGACGCCGTGGTGGGCAGCCTTCAGAGCAGTAAGGCCATCTACGCTGCTTCCAAGCTGGCTCACTTCGACCGCATCAAGACGGAAGGTGGGGGTGATTATTGATTTAATTCCTGTCCTGTTTGCCTTTCTTTAACAACCCTTTTTGTCAACATGAAAGGCACTATACATTCAGTTTGCTTTGATTTACTCTGGTTGCTTATCGGAAACCACATTTGGTCAATGTTTGCTGAGGTTAAGGATTTGGTAAAGGTTGCAATTGGCATACCAAAACTGTTCAAACTGGTTTGTGATTAATTAATGTGTTCCTTGGTACGTAATGACTCATCAGTTTCATTGCTGTTTGTTTCCTTGAAAGAATGTTTACCACCTGTGAAAGGTTTGTTACCTCTCTTTAACGATGGTTTGTGTTTTTCTAGTGCCGATGATGGTTCCCAAAACAACGGCAGAGACGCTGAAACATAAGATTAACCCCTCGCTGGAGCTCGCTGCACCTCAGGCTGTAGATGTACTTCTATACACACCAGGTACAAACTGTAACAATGAGACCAATCCCGCCATTATTCTTATACGTCCGATCACAGCGATAACTGATGTCAGGTTTCTCTCTGGGGAGCTCCATCATCCAGAGTTTCAATTTAGACGACAACACACGTTCTCACATACACACACATGACCTTTGCTTTGTCATCGCCTCTCTTTCTCTCTCGCTCTGTTTTACTCCAACAAAGAAACACCGACAGTCATAAAGCTGCTCACAAAGTTTCTCAACCACACTTCCTCCTCAAGATGTCTTTAAAATAAAAGAGGATGTCAGCCAGAAATGTGTCTTTATAAGGAGGGAAGCCGCTTCCTAAATATGCAATTAAGGCTAAGAATCCAATAGTGAACATGTCAACATCAGGTTGTATGCTGTTCCTGTATGTGCTAAACAGTATTTAATGCATGACTTTTGGCCATTAGCTCGAGACGTTCTTGACTTTGCTCAACAAGAGTAAAAGCAAGAAGAAGCTCACCTAGAATGTATTAATGAGAGCAACGGTGGGTTTAAGAGATGAAGAAAGAAAAACAAATCTTAGAGCATTTTAGAGCAACATTTACCCTACATTTTGTAAGGATCTAATTAACAGTCAAATAATCCCTAAGAGCAAAATAATTGTTCAAAAAGTGAATTTAATTCAGAGATCTAAATGTCTTATGGTTCTTATTGTTATTGATATAAAATATACAGACCAGTGATAAATAAAGGCAAAACCTGAATAAATCAATGTAGAAACACCCAACTAAGACGCAAATGGTCAGATTTAAACATATTTGAAGACCATGGAAGATTTTGAAATGATAGTTTGTCAGATATCGCTCTCCATGACTTCATCAAAACAACAAATGAGGAAGAATAGTTAGAGAATAATTGTATTTATCTCTCCCGTAAAGTTCCAAAAACTAGACTTACAGTACACAGAAGAGCATTGAAGCTTTGTGTACTGTAGCTCACAATTTCAATTTGTTTTTTTCTTTTTAAATCTGTCACCCATTAGGACATCCAAGCCATCAAACTTGACCTTAAAACCCAGGAATGGTTCCCTGTTGTTTACCCTTTGCATAAAGTCCTTTGACTTTATTATGCTGAAGCAGACAGGATGGCGCATTACGTGGCAGGAAAACAGCTAAATAAGAACTACAAAGCCCATGCCTTCAGTGGAGCGACCATCTGGGGCCACTTATCTACTGGCTGGTGGCAGACTGACCCCCAGCGCTACCACACTCTTGCACACTCATACTCAGTGATGTTCACATCTACAGACTCTGTTCAGTTCTCCTAATGCAGTCAGCTCTCTGATTTCTGTTGGTGAAGGAGAACAAATCTGGCTATTCAGATCCTGCCTCTCTGCCTCTCTCAGCCTCTCTGGTTTGAATATAGGTCACTGAATTGAATTCCTGGAATATTGCCATTTCACTCCCACCCTCCCTCTTTTTCACTCTCCTTCCCCTCTATGTCCCACTGTCCCTATGTGTCACTCTTTCTATGAAATGCAGGGTGTAACTTTCCTTTTCCTTCCACCAATGGTGCTTTTTTAAATAGCTCTGAATCCGTTGGGAGAAATTGGACCGTTAGGTGAAGCCTGGGTGGAGTCAGGCAGCAGAATAATAATTTCGTACATTAAGTATTTCCATTCAAACTGTTGGCTGATGTTCACAGCTCCTTCTTGGCCTTCTGATTGAGTCAATACTCTGCAGCTGTAAGTCACAAGTGTGAGATAAGGTATTGAGAAATAACTGATAAATACTGCATGTGTTTCAGGTCAGTTATGGGTGTCTGTGAGCGTGGGAAAGGTGATGGTGTTTGATGCCTCCAGCTGGTCCCTCACACATACCTGCCACGTTGGGAATGCAAGACTGGTAAACACACAAAACACACACACACACACACACTGACATGACATTTTGCCCAGGAGTTATGGCAATATTTTTTAGACTGTCTTAGATTAAGACACGGTTTTTGTACCTGAAACAATTATCTTTGGCATTGTTCAAGTGGAAAACATTAATACAGATTTATAAGTTAAGCTAATTCTTGATGGTGTGAACTTGTCTTTTCGCTAGCTCTCCTATAAGTGTCAGCACTTGGTGAAACTTTTGACTTTGAATCTCAGGACGGAATCAGCAGAACATGCGTGCCACTGACTGTTTTGTCTCCTGCATGCTTTACTTCGAACAGCTTCGGTATTATCTTCAGGCAAGCACAGTTTCAGGGAGTGTGTTTTGAATAGTTTTCATCCCCCCTAAGCCCACAACATCTTCAGTGCAAACTGCGACTTTCAAAACAAAACGCAAACAAGTAAATGTTGGCTGGAGCTCCTTAAAGCTCTTAGGTGAATGTTTGTGGTAAATTAAGTTACGGATGAGTGTAAAGTTTTAAGGCTCTGTCCTAATCACTGACCTCAAGCATGCAGGTCACAGTCACATGAAATACGTTAGCCTATGTTAACCAGTGCGTGTGTGTTTGTTTGTGTTTGTCTTTATGTTCGCTGGCAACACAAATATCTGCTCACAGTTACTTCAATTCAAAATTTGATCCATAGCTACATTTGTAAAAACAGACAATTATGCAAGATGTACAGTAATAGTATTGACAGTGTGCTCAGTGTTGTTTGTTAGACAATGCTACCATCTAGTGGAGGAATTAGGTATTGCATAATGCACTTTTTTTTGCCTAACCCAAGTCCAAAATGATGCCTATTGCAATGTATATCTTAATTTACTTACTGTTCTAGATACCTGCTACACTTACCTGTTAGGAAAAGCCAACTTTCCTTACATAAGGCAACTTTTAGTC